AACCAGCATCCCAGCGTCAAAACATACCTAACCAGCATATGCTGTTTTTTTCAACAGGGTTTGTAAACCGGATTTCCACATAAGTGCGCGCACACCAACCTGGCGTGGTCTAAAGTTAAAGGTGAATAAAGCAGGCATAGCGCCAGCAGGGTCACTCATACGTCATTAAATAAATCATTTTGGTAAATTACATGGAACCGCAGTGGCACAGTAACCACAAGGTCACACAGGTGTATGTTTCTAGAATTTACAACGGCTTCGAACGCGGCTCATCCAATCAGAATCAAGGAGCGGAACTATCATCTTGTTTACTTTTAAATTCACACTTGATTGGTCTGCAGTTCAAAGCGATGTCACAAACAGCACTGTAAGGTTGATCTCGATGTTGGCTCACGCTGCTTTTCCAATTTAGATCGTGATTCATGGACGAAGATGCGAGGAATACACGCTCCTCGTCCACCAATCAAATCGCCGGACATAATCAAAACGAGGCTCGATTACAGAAAGCAGTGGACCTGTCCGGACAAACTCTTCTGTCCCGCTGCTTCTTACGGTCCTTGCGAAATCAAAGGTTTATCATATATTTGGTCCAATAACAACATCGGGTCCCAAGTAAAGGAAGACAAAAATTTCAGTTTGCCAGACAGTCAGCGTCTGTTGGTCAAGAAGTATGAGCTTACCAAAAAGGAAACTAGGCCTAATGTAAGAGCCAGTTTAACACTTCTAGGAGGTGCACCCAGGAACCAATACCTGCCCCAGCATACACAGAAGTTCCATTGGACGGATGTTTCTTTTGAAAACATACTCCAGACAAATAAGTATAATGTAGTGGATCTTCAAATGAGTGCATCTGAGTACGTTTTTTCTGTAGAGGATCTTCAGAGTAGTCTGTCTTGTGCAGGGGAGCTCCAGAAGAATGCATGTTCTTCAAGGAAGCTGAAGCGCAACGAAGATTACGAGAAAGCCTTAATAGGCCCACGTCTTCCAAAAATTATGCCTCAGAGCCAACATTTTCTCCAGACAAATGCGTCTTTCACAAGGAGGTCAGCGAAAATGGAGGAATGTGATGAGCCATGGTCTCTGACTCCATGGGTGGAGAATGACAGCGAAGACGAATTGACTGAGGAGGCCACATGCATAGCAGAACAAAAGAAAAGGGAGATCAAGAAATATGAAAGCTTTCAAGCCAGTGCAAGACAAAATGTTAGTCTTCCAAAGATTGGGCCTCCCAAACAGAGCCACCTGCAAAAGACCAGATACTCCATAAAGCAGCTAAAGTCGTCTGTGCTTCTGCTTCCTCTGCTGGGTGAGAAGGCCTGATTCTGACAGAAGATCACAAGTGGAAACACCTTCTCAGAGAGCTTCAGAAGAGAAAGTAAAGTCAGCTGAGGAAGATATTTATTTTAGAACGTAGCCTACACTGCAGATTTATTTGTGGAAGTATTATTTCACATTTTCTGTGATATTTCAACTTTGTTTTGTGACATAGCTTGCTCAGACAATTGTTGTCCAAATAGGCTATTAAATGCTTAACGCTAAATGTATTTGAAAGGTCGCCTTTCGTATATATAAAACTGGAATAACTCACAGCATATAATCACTGCAATATGGTAAATATTTATTTAGCTTTTATTAGGCTATATCTTACTGAATTATTGTAATGAGAACTACAGACTAAAATATTATCGTTAATGCCGGAAAAGTTGATTTGCTAATGAAATTTTAGAGACTCGCTTAAAATTGCTGTGTAAATGTTTAATCATAAGTTATCATATATGCAGCCTACAGTATAGCCTATTATAATGTCTTTGTTATAATTTTTTACTTATCTAAAGATATATAAATTAAACATATGTATTCTATAATATAAACATTTATAATACTCTTGGAATAAACAGCTTCTTTATTAAATTAAACACAACATTATTCCTGTTGGATAATTTATGATGATAAGCATCACATATATTCAGACAATATCATTTATTATTAAAAAGTCTATATAAACAGTAGTGCACAAACATACTTCAGGATCCACCAAACCCTTGTGAAAAATGGGCAACATTAGCATTCTTTAGGCCTACTTATGGGAAAAAATTTTTTTAAAGAATATTTAAGTCTAAACCAAATGTAATGTTTTTGGGCACACTATTGCATGTTATTTAAAATTAAATGAAAATGAATTACAGTTTCAATTTGAATTAAATGCAGTTAGTTAAAAGTGGTGCTTTTTGACACACTTAAAGTATCTTCAGTAACACTGTCCTTGTTACACATGTAGCCTACTCACAAATTAGCCTACATGCAACTAACCCTATGTTGTTAATGTAGCCTAAATTCTTCTTTATGTTAGTCAACACATCAAAATAAGTTTACTTCTATAAAACAGGACAACATATTATTTAAACATAATGATTTCAAATTTACATTAAAGTGAGATGTTTAATTTGACATTATTATATATTATCAAATTAAATTATAGTATTTATATAGTATTATATTACTATCCAGTGTGTTGTGATTGGCTGAATACCTCAAGCGTGTGACGGAAATGTTACACCCCTCACCATACTGTTGATGCCGTGTCCCGGCCGGAGCGACGACACAAAAACATGAAAACCCATTATAAACGAGGCATTTGTTGCATCCAGTGGGGACATAATTACGGATTATAATGACTTATACTGTCTTTTTACGCGTTGTGTTGCATCGCGCCGCGCAAACATAAAACCATGTCTGCATTTGTGATCGGAGAAATTACAAACAACAAGTGTACTCACTTACAGTCACAGCCGGCATTGTAGTCTACTCTACCAGGATCAGGAAACAGTCCTCCATAAAATATGCTGCACACATCTGAATATTTGGGTTGAACTGTTCTGGAACAGTGTTGTAAATACAACTTAACCACTGATTTCTAGTCGTGTCCTCTTTTGGAAGACCAAACAAAGTAGTTTCGCCGTCACACAAGGTGGCTAGAGTGAGCGGAGGTGGGCGGGTGGGTTTGAGAACGGCGCGGCCGGGCGGATTCGACGAAGGAGCATCCGGAGGGCTTGCGGCAACCACATGGGACGACCCCGGGCTGGACTTCACTTCGTCCACGGTGAAAGCCGATCCGGCGATCCACAGCACAAAGTTGATGCATTTCCTCAGCGACCAGCACAGATCAGCTCTAGGCATGACGAAGCAGATATCGTCCTCTTTTGGAAGGCCAAAGAAAGTAGTTTCGCTTTTACAACGAAACACAGCGCCTTCACGACATGGTGGCAGCAACAATACTACAGCGAGAATAAAAGTTACGCCGCCTTTCTTTGCGTGAACATTTGGGCGGCGTTATGCAAATCTTCCCACATTGTGACGTAGATATGTGGGGGGGGTGTTAGAACGAGCCGTTTTAGGTAGGCGTGGTTGACTCTTAACTTTTATAAAGAATATCTCTTTGGATTTGAGACTTTAGTCTTTGCAACTTTACAGATCTTCTTTATGCACCAAGAGCTTGTAACACTCCAAAGAGAAAGGACAAATTGAAATCGCATCATATGACCCCTTTAAGGTTTTAAGAAAATGGGCAAGTGAAATGAGTAGTAAAGCCTTCTTTGATTTTATTAGAGAGACGGGGTTGATAAATAGAGTATAAAACTCTGTTCCACACCCCGGAGCAAAAGGTGGCGGTAATGCGTTGGTGTCAGCCGCTGTTAAAAACCAAGAAGAAGAAGAAAAGCGCAGCGAGTGTTGTTGTCTTCCTAGTGAGGTGCTGTCATCTTTAGCATACAGTTAAACTGTAAAAACGGAGCTTTTTGCCTTCCTCTCTCCACCGCCGATGATTTAAGCAGTATGTGGATTCCCGCCGATGGATGCCACGAGAAACACTGAGGAGATTTTAGCTGAGAGCTTTATCCTGCTGCTTGAGCTTGAGGTCTGAGCTTGAATCGAATTTTGACACACGGCTTTATATCTTCAAGGTTGCCAGGCTCGTTGCATTGAGTTGTGAGACATGTGGTTTTGCTCTTTTGCTTTGTGCACTTGCCAGCAAACCTGACCGTGATCACTTGAGGGACATTAATGTGAAATGCTGTAGCGTAGGTCTAATTCTGCCTCTCTGCTGAGTACCTGAAAATGCAGGCGTATTTACTAGTTAGACTGCTACAAGGTGCTTCACATAAAGTGACAGCCGTGTTTAAAATGCATTATTATGATTTAACATTTTTATTTATTTTTAAAATCAGTTACTAAACCATGAAATAGAAATGAACTATTTTATGATTATTATGCATGCTAATTTTATAAGCTCATGTTCGAGAAATTAAGTGCATGTGCTGTTGAGCTTCATTTAGCCTGGGTGATTAAAATAGTGACCTAGTATTTACATTTACTTTATACATTCATTTCAATTTGAACCATCTTTAAACACCTTTAAAAAGATAATAAAAGCAATCCATATTATTTGTCAGCTACACTTCATGTATACATGCCACTTTTGTGGAAAAGAAGTGCGCTCAAATGTATGTACACTTGTAGTGTGCTAAACATCTTAAAAGCATACCTTCAAATAAACTGTACTTGCAGATAATATATTATTACTGAAAAAAACTAATTTGGAAAAGAGTGTACACCTTCATGACTTTCTTAATACACTTAAGTACACGTTTAAAAAGTGCACCTTGTAAGAATGTAAAATTAAAAGTCTTTAAAAAGATTTTAAATAATTGTTTTAATGATGTTGTTTTTCTTTATAGAATTACGCTTATTTTGTGTTGACTAACACTAAAATTTTTAACTGTAGTGTGTTATTCAGTATTGTATTTAAAGTTGATATGTTATAAATGTACAAAATTGCAACTTCATCATAACAAATGTGTAATACAATCTTTTATATATATATATATATATATATATGAGTAAGTAAAATAATACATTTTCAGTTACACTTTATTTTAAGGTGTCCTTGTTACAGTGTAATTATTATACATTTAAGTACTGAGTTACTTGCATGCAATTTTGCATAATTAATTTTTATTGTAATAGTAAGTACATGTAATATGGACACCTTAAAATGAAGTGTTACCAAATGTTCTCGAGTCCTACTTAAGTGGATAAAAACACTCTTAAGTTAAAGCTGCAGTCCGTAACTCTTTTTGGTTAAAAATGATCCAAAATCAATATTTGAGCAAGTACATAACCAGCCAGTGTTCGAAACTATCACCTTACTTTAGCCCGATTCACAACGGTTAGCTTATAATAATGTTTTCTAATTTGAGTGGTACGGGTAGGTTTTCGCAGGAAATTCGAGCATGCACTGCGTCATTACGTCACTTCTGTAAACATAAAGAAGTTGTGCCGGCTGCTAGGCTATCGAATGCGAGGATCCTGCAGCAGGCGGATCATTTATCATTTTGATCCTTTTCTCACAGCAGCTAGAATAATTAAATGTATCATTTTGATGGCGGATTGTAATCCAGAAAGGATTATGTGTTTATGAAACACATGTGAATGAAATTAAATGATATCCCAATTATAAATGTGCTTCTGATTACAGATAGCCTGGGATTACACAAGATTTGTATTTTAAAGACAACCAGTTCGAAGGGAGCATAGTTTGCTTTTTGGGTTAAAATAGTTTCTTGGTATGAAATTCCAATGGTATGACAATTAGAGATTAGACTGTATAGAAATTGATATCTACACACACACTATACTCATAGCCTCACAATGCTGATGTTGTTAACATTAATAATCTGAGAATAAAGTATAACAATAATAATAATGTGAACGGTTTGATGTGATATGAGCTAATCGATCGTTAGATTAAATCACCATTGGTAGCATGATTCATTGTAATGCTTTTTTCCTCAGTTGGTCAGAACAAACGTGGCAGACTTGTTACTTACTTGTTCAGATGGCAATATTCATATTCCAAGACGTAGGCTAGAATCTGTGATTCCTAAGTACAATATCCACACCGGTGCGGTGACTGACTGCCACACATACTCCTCTAAACATTAGATTCATCCACGCAAGGAAGATAATTCCGCAAGTAACTGCAATTCCAGGTTTTCAAACAGAGATGGCAACAAAGTGGCAAAACTTACGGACTGCAGCTTTAACTAAATGCATTTAATGTAATTGCAAATAACATGCAGTTAAGTGACTAAAAACAATACGTAAAATGTATTATTTCCATTATTAGTACTCTAAAGTGTACTTATTTTATGCTGGGGTAGTAATCATTCAAACTCTTTCATTCACAGCACAATGTCGGTTTCAGTGGAGAAGAGGGATGCGTGGTTCCCCCCGGACTGGGAGGATGACGAGCGAATGGCTTTCTTGTTCTCTGCCTTCAAAGAGAACCGAGATGTTGACTGTACAGACTGGGATGGGAAGATAGACTTCTGGAGTCCTCTGATCATTGATCACTGCAGGCGACACGGATCGGTGTGTGTGAATCTGCAGGAGCTGAATGAGAGCTTCAGGAGGAAGGGCTCTGTTCCTCTGGGTTTGAGTACGGTACTTCAGAGCATGATCAGGTAAGTCACTGTCACCTCAAGTACAAAGTCGCGTAGATCACGAAGTGTAATCAGTACATGGATTTATAGCACGCTGTGCGGATTTGTTCTATTGTCCTTCTAGAAGCGGGAAGGTGCAGAAGGAATCAGACTTTGCAGCAAATGTAGACTCGGGCTGGTTGTCATGGGGTGTTGGACTCTTGTTAGTTCGACCTCTGAAATGGACTCTGTCAGCTCTGCTGGGCAGTGGGAGAGTCCCACTGGAGGAATCGTTTGTTGTGATAGACCTGGTGAAAGTAAGTGTAGAACTAACACAATTAATGCTCATTTCCAGCCTTTATAAACTACTGCTTGCTAAAATGTTTGGGGTCAGATTCATAAACAGCAAATTAGCGTGAGACCATAATCTAGGGCTGTCGCGATTCGTCGATATTATTCGACTATTCGATTTTTAAAAATCCTCGACTTAATTTTGCTCATGTCGACTAACTGGCAAAATACTGGAAGTGGCGCATTTCACGGACGAGAATCCATAAAACACATTATTAGACTGTTTTCCAAGGCTGCATTATATATTAAACCCATTTAAAAATCATAATTAAACATAATTGTGAATTCACAAACGTTACAATTTAATTAATTATATGCAATGCCGTTCTAATACAGTATATGCGCTTTAATTATTTACATGCATGTAGGTTAAATACGTGCGTCACACAGCGGCTCCGTTCACAGTAGTTCCACAGGAACTGTTATCATTTACATGTGAGGAGCGTCTCAAACTCCATCTCTGCATGTTGTTGTGAGTTTGGGTTTATTACAATGTTCATCTGGGAACGCAACATGCGCCATTTCATCAGATTTGTAAGGTAAACCATTTATAAATCTACGCAAACACAGGAGAATACATCGCGGTTTCAAAATAAAAGCTCAAAATTAAAACCCTCACTCTGAGTTTACACGTTTTGATGTCCACATATTCATTTAATTACAGTGGCTATAGCATTTCTGCCCTAAAGAAATGGCCAAATATTAAAGATTAAGTGGACATTTGAATGAAATGGTGCTTGGTTAATATTAAACAAGTATTAGATCGCACAGCAATGTGTAAAAATAATCATCAGGCTGTTTGGCGCCCTCTGCAGGCCTTTGTTGTAATGTACATTAGCTCTATTGTTTATAATATATTATGTATTTTAAAGTAATTTTAAAGGCTATTGTTCACTTACATCTATTTTTATTACCACAAAGAAAAATTATAATTATAGGGCCCTATGAAATTTTTTTTATTTCCAAATTCATTTTTTTTCCATTTTAATTTTTCTATACTCTGTTTTAATGGTTAAATAAAATTTTATTAATCAAAAAGCCTGTCTAATTAATTGAGTTTTACGGTTTTATCTTTACCAAGTTCTGATTTCCATTATTTTCTGGATTCCATTTTAATGGTTCCATTAAATTTTAATAATCAAAAGCATCTCCAATTAATTGATTTTATAAAAAAAAAATATATATATATATATCCCCTTTTTTTTCAGAAATACTGCACATTTACATTTTCCTAAATAAATTCTGGTAAATAACATTTCTGGTAAATACTCCTTTAAAAAGTGTTTTTTGATTATAATTTTATTATTAGTAGACTAGAACACGTGGATATGTTGTCGTTCTTACACTATAATACTGAACTTTGATTTCAGTGATTTGGACTATGAGATGGATGCACTTTACTTTTGCTTTAAAAAAAGGATTTCATAGAAATTTGGATTTCATTTGGTTTAATAAACTATAGTTTCATAAAATGTTCTTAAGTAAAATTGTTGGGGGTTTTTTTGTGGGAAATTAATCGTTTAGATTAATCGATAAATTAGTCGATGGATTAATCGAAATAAAAATAGTCGTTAGTGGCAGGCTGGCAGCCCTAGCGTAATCCCATAAAAGCGCAGATGGGAGTGGAAATTCAGCGGCTAATCTACCGACAAATGTGCAGCTACATTAAAGAACACAGATGCAGCCGGATCATGCCGATTATGATCAGGTGCATGTAATCTACTAACACCACAAGCCCAAAAATGACACAAATTGCAGTAAATTGACAAACACTGCGCTCAACTTCAGTTTTGGGTGTGTAGATCAATCAGTAACAGTAACTCACTCTATCTTCTTGATAACTTTCAATTTATTTTAGTTTTGCACCAGAGCAATCTGACTGTCGAGTGCTCTGGTGCAAAAAGAGTGAGTGCGGATCCCTTACTTGAAAGTAAACCGACTAACACAAACCTTTCATGATTCATTTAAATGCTCTGAAATTTTGCATCTAAAAGGGGAAACTCCTACAAATGGATATACTATCAAGTCAGCCTCAAAAGTGACTGTGTCCAGGCCTTTTCCTCGCTAATGTTACGCTCCATGTCTTTAGTAAATCCTGATAGTAGTTTTTTTTAATGTTAAAAAAAAAGGTTTTGCATTGGTGCAAGCTGTATATCTGTCGCTTATTCAGCAAGGATTAAATAAACTGGTCAAATGTAACAGTACAAATGTTTACATTGAAAAAATATACACATACATTCATACAGCACAAATTGCTGCTGATCAAATAACCTAACAAATACAAAGACATTCTCAAATTCACTCCCATTTTTAACTCCAATTTATATGATGACGTAATTTGTAATAAAAAAATTAAAAAACACTTTTGGACCCCACTGTATATTGTTTATATGGCGTGCAGGTAGTTATCGGTCTGTTTTTCCTCTTGCAGAAAAGGGCTGCGGTGCTTTTGGCAGCATATCGGGCTTCTCCTTTAGCAACACACTCTCTGCTGTCTTTCCAAGAGCTGCGTGCTCTCTCCTCTCACATCTGTCCAGATGAAAGCTCGCTCTGCCTGGCTCTGCTGCAGCTACAGAGAGAGAAGCATGTCACCGTCTCACTCCATGAAGGCGAGAAGGTGTGTTAAGGATAAGGATAAACTTTATTTGTCCCCGAAAGGAAATTTGTCTTGGGCAAAGTGCTACAGTGTTGTTCTGAACAGACAAAAACAATAAATAAAACAGATAAAAAAATTTAAAAAACACAACAATGTATAAGTATAATGTGCAAAATACATGCAGTGCAAAACACAATAAAGTGCTAATATGCTATATGGGCATTGTTTTTGGTAAAATTCAGCATTTTTATCGAGGCAGAAACAACTGAAAGCTTCAGTCTATTAGTTTTACACATTGTCATTCTTAGTCTCTTTCCCGTTTTTGAGTACAAGAGCGAACCTTGATGCACTGTAGACTTTAGGGAAAGAAAGTTGATGCATTTTGAAAACTCTGTAGGTAATAATGCAGAATTATACCATTTTTCAGTGATTCCTCACTTCACTATCGTTCAAAAGGTTTTATAAAATTCATATTTTTATTCAGGAAAGATGCATTAAATTTGCATGAAATAAGTATGGAATCTTATTTCTGCCATGGGGAAAAAATTATTTCATATGATGAAAGCTTCAGTCTATTAGTTTTACACATTGTCATTCTTAGTCTCTTTCCCGTTTTTGAGTACAAGAGCGAACCTTGATGCACTGTAGACTTTAGGGAAAGAAAGTTGATGCATTTTGAAAACTCTGTAGTAGGGATGCACGATATATCGGCCACCATATCGGTATCGGCAAAATTCATATTTTTATTCAGGAAAGATGCATTAAATTTGCATGAAATAAGTATGGAATCTTATTTCTGCCATGGGGAAAAAATTATTTCATATGACTTTTTATCTTGCAGTTCTGTCTTTCCGACTTTTTTCACAGTTCTGTTTTTATGAGATATAAACTCTGCAAGAAAAAGAGTAAGAATTCTGACCTTTTTTCTCAGGATTTTGAGTATATAAAATGTTAAAAAATAAAATAAAAATGTAAATCTTACAATTCTGACTTCTTTCCTCACAATTCTGAGTAAAACAACAACAACATAATTGCTAAAAAAAAAAAAAAAAAGTAAATTAAATTATTCCGTGGTGGAAACGGGCTTCTATAGTAAAGACATTTATAATATTACAAAATATTTATATTTCAGATAAATGCTGCTCATTTGAACTTTGTTTCAAAACCATGAAAAAAAAAATCACGGTTTCTACAATACATTTTGAGCAACAAAACTGTTTTTAACATGGATGTATAATAAAAACTGTTTCTTGAGCATCAAATCAGCATATTAGAATGAGTTCTGAAGGATCATGTGACACTGAAGACTGGATTAATGATGCTGGAAATTCAGGAATAAATTAAATTGTAAAATATAGACAAGTTATTTTAAATTGTACTACTATTTCATAGTGCTTCTTTTTAAATGTATTTTTGATCAAATATTTGTAGATTTGGAAAGCATAAGAGTCTTCTGTTAAACAACTTTTGAATGGTTTTGAACTATCTGAAACAGTCATGTTTCAACATTTCTTCAACCAATCAGAGACCTAAATGTGTCGCTAAAATCACAGGGCACTGATTGGTTGATTAGTAACTTTTACCACTTGTTTGTCTCTAATGAAACTTTTGACCATGTCCATGTATAGCTGGTGAAATTTAGTCAGACAGGACAAGGCCGTGTGTCTCCCGTCAGCGAGGTGGACCTGGGCATCTATCAGCTCCAGCGCAGCGAGAAGCTTCTGGAGGAGAGGGTGGAGGCGCTGGGACAGGAAGCAGAAAAGTGAGCCAGTTCATCCACATTGCATTGAAGTTACTCCAGCCAGTGTCATTTCTGTGACATGATGGGCTATTACAATAGCGCTGCAGTTAAATCATGTGTCGTCTAATGTGCAGGTGTAAGCAGCAGGCAAAATCACTGCTTAAAGAGGGGAAGAAATCACAGGTATGAGTGCACTTTTTGTGTTTTGTGCCTATTGTAATAGGCAAGAAATGTGTTTTAATGAATTGCCACATTTTCCCGCCGCAGGCCCTGAGGTGTTTACGTGGGAGCAAGCGGGTGGAGAAGAAAGCAGACCGTCTGTTTGCTCAGCTCGAGACAGTGAAGGGGATCCTGGACAGAATAGCAAACTCCCAAACCGACCGCCTGGTGAGACGCACAAACACACAGATGCACTGACCGTCTGCTGTGAGTGACAACACATGCTGTTGGCTGACACCAGTGAACGTCACCCACGCTTCGCCATGTCGCACTCGTACAAGCCAGCACTGTATTGCACTTTTTTCTTGTTCACATTTTTTTGAAAGTAATTTTCCGCTTAAAGCAGGAATTCCCCACATTTTTTGCCAGCCAAACCCCTTTGAACTAAAATATTTACTTGAAGTACGCCCTGAGAATATTTCTGTAATTTACCAACACATTCACATGCGCATAGTTCTCTGATGTTGTTTAATGATCACATGACATTATGATTGCACGATAATTCATATTCATCGTGATCGTCATTATTGCTTCTCTCGATTAAGCATACTCATCTGCAATATTTTCCCACAGATTTTTGCTTTATCTTTCATTGGTATCATGCCTCCACAAGCGTTCATGCTTAAGGGTTGCCAGATGTCAAGAGTTTAAATCATCCAATCAGAGCTTTTCTTTTAAATAGACAAATTTTTTACTTTGTTTTACTTCATCTTTCCAATCTGACAACGCTTAAAGGGTTAGTTCGCCCAAAAATGAAAATTCTGTCATTAATTACTCACCCTCGTGTTGTTCGAAACCCATAAGACTGTAGTTGTAGTAGCTGTAGTAGTAGAATTAGTAGTAGTAGTATTAGTAGCAGCAGTAGTAGTATTAGTAGTTGTAGTATTATTATTAGTAGTAGTAGTAGTATTATTTGTAGTAGTAGTAGCAGCAGTAGTATTATTAGTAGTAGTTGTAGTAGTAGTATTAGTAGCAGTAGTAGTATTAGTAGTTGTATTATTATTAGTAGTAGTATTAATATTTGTAGTAGTATTATTAGTAGTAGCAGCAGTAGTAGTAGTATTAGTAGTAGTATTAGTAGTAGAATTAGTTGTATTATTATTTGTAGTAGTATTAGTAGTATTATTATTATTAGTAGTAGTAGTAGCAGTAGTAGAATTAGTAGTAGTAGTAGTAGAATTAGTAGTAGTAGTAGAAGTAGTAGTAGTTGTAGTAGTAGTAATAGTAGTAGTATTAGCAGCAGTAGTAGAATTAGTAGTAGCAGTAGTAGTATTAGTAGTATTAGCAGTAGTAGTAGTAGTGTTGTTATTATTAGTAGTAGTAGTATTAGTAGTAGTAGTAGTATTATTAGTAGTAGCAGTATTATTATTAGTAGTAGTTGTAGTAGTATTAGTAGTAGTGTTATTATTATTATTAGTAGTAGTAGTAGCAGAAGTAGTATTATTAGTAGTAGCAGTATTATTAGTAGTAGTAGTATTAGCAGTAGTAGTTGTAGTAGTAGTGTTAGTAGTAGTAGTATTAGCAGTATTATTAGTAGTAGTATTAGCAGTAGTAGTTGTAGTAATAGTAGTAGTAGTATTAGCAGTAGTAGCAGTATTATTATTATTAGTAGTATTAGCAGTAGTAGTTGTAGTAGTAGTATTATTATTAGTAGTAGTAGTAGTATTAGCAGTAGTAGTTGTAGTAGTAGTGTTATTAGTAGTTGTAGTAGTAGTAGTATTAGCAGTAGTAGTAGTAGTAGCAGCAGTAGTATTATTATTAGTAGTAGTAGTAGTAGTATTAGCAGTAGTAGTAGTAGTAGCAGCAGTAGTATTATTATTAGTAGTAGCAGTATTATTATTAGTAGTAGCAGTATTATTATTAGTAGTTGTAGTAGTAGTATTAGTAGTAGTACTTTTCTTTGAAGAGTATAGTATATTCAAATCTGTAGTTTTAAGTATATAGCCATATTAAAAAGTTATCAACACTGCCAGAAACGGAAGAAAATTATAATTGTTTTAATGTTGAGGTTGGTAAGATGTATTGTTTCTGAAAGAAGACACATGTTCTTATCAATGCTGATAATACATTAGTGTTGTTAGTGTTTCAATTAGTGTTAATTTATTTAACAAATGTTACCGACTCGAACGGTAGAGTACATCGATCCTATATTTCTTTAGAACAATATATATTTGATGTTTCTAAGAGAAGTGATTTGAATTAACTTCCAATGTTTACCAGTGACGAATTGGAAACGCGCGATGACGTCAGAGCAGCAGTGTACACGCAGTTTCCGGAATTGACACGCATGCGCACTGACCGGTTCTTTTTTCCCACTACTGAACTGAACTGTTGCTCGGTAACTACCGGGAACCAGCGGCTTTTCTCGACCACGTTTGAACGAGCATCGCTGCCAGAGGAATTAAAGTGCCATATTTATGTGTTCACCGCGAGGACTTCAATCATAGGACGACTGAATTCATAATAACGTTAGCCGAACGGTGAGAACATGTTCATCCAGATCTGTATCTGACCAGAGGATAACACACCTGCCAGCATTTAATCAGTCACGTTTATCCATCCAAAACCTTACAGACCTACTTTAACCATCAAATAGGCGTCCATTTATCATCGAAACTGTCCTCGGCCTGATTGTGGTTGCGTTTCAAAACCTAGCGAGCTGCCTAACGCTACCTAGACATCATTTAGGTCAT